AGAGAGAGAGAGAGAGAGGAGAGTAGGTAAGTCTCCAACCGCGCAGCCAACCTCATGGTACTTTCATCGATCTGATGAGCAAAATCAGATGAATCTACTGCTAGAACATGGAAATATACACTGCCACGCTTTTTTTTTTTTTTTTTTTTTTTTAAGAATGAATTCTCCCACCCGTAGTCCGCCAAGTGCTCACATTGTTGGGTGGGCCGCGTTCGATAAATTCACGCCACGTGGCGCGCATCGCATTTGAACGCGGGCGTTCGAACACGAACGTGTGTTCAGCGCGTTCACACGGTCACATAGGGCCCTGGCTCTGGCCTCTTGTCGTCGTGATAGAGAATGTCGAGGGGCAAATCGTCGAGGAGCTGCTCTAGAAGCACCAATAATTCCTCTGTGACCGGCGCAAAGTGATCGGCGCCCACCTCCCCAAATATGATCCCCAAAAGTTTCCCTTCCACGTCCGATCTCCACGCCTGAATGATCAGCCATTCGACGCCCCGGTCTCTGTCGAGATCATCCAGGTCGTGCGGCTCAGATCACGTGAACTCGAGGTTGACTAGGCAGAAGCTGAGCGCCGTGAAGGTTCCCCACCATGCGGCCCACTGATCCTCCTCTAAGTCAGGCACTGGGACGATTTGATCTCCAACGCCAAGTGTGGACGAGTGGGGGACTGCCAGAGAGTCGGAAAGTCGGACGACAGCGTGAACGTGGATAGTCGGTGCTGGTTCATTGGTTTCACTCGAAGGGGACCAGCTCCGGAAGGATCGCCTCCGGGTCCAAAGGGCGCCGCCGGATCAGGTGAGTGTTAATGTTGTTGGTGCTCTCCACCCGCTTTCCTGGTCACGCAAGCCTGTGTCTCCACGTAGTTGCCAACTGCTCTGCCCAGCGTCACAGCCGCAGAATACAGCTCTCGTGGACGTTCACGTGCAACGTCGAGAGGTCCCCGTTGAAAGAGATGAGCACGAATTTGTGACTAATTCTAGGAGGTGAGAGCCATAGAAATGTCGATCCCTCTGCCAACACCCTTCCCGTGATTCTTAGATGAACGAATTTGAACTCGGTCACCACGTAGATGCTTGCTGTGCTGAAGAATCTTACAAATCGTAGCAGATCCGGACTGAGCCGAGAACGGTGCACCTGCCGGATTGAAGAGATGAATTCCCGCAGCATCAACATATGTCAACTGATAAGCTGCCCCGTCTCGAAGCTCACCACGATGGTGGAGAAGAAGAGGGTGAGTCAGAAAAAGAGGGGGAGGAAAGAGATTCCGGCTCCTCGCTCTCGTACTCAGAGGTAGCGTGGGAACTAGACGGCGATGGGGGAGAGGAGGCAGACAGAGGGCGGAGATAGGATACGTGGCGGATGATAGGACGAGCCGATCGGCTACCCAAGACCTCCGGCGCAAGACGCACTGTGTTCACTACGTTCGGACCGAGCTCCACTACGGGAAATTGGTCGAAGAATCATGGCGCTAGCTTACCCTGACGAGCACGTTTCATTACCTGCACGATGTCCCCTAATTTATATTGGGGTCGAGGTCCAGCGTTCCCATTTCGGGCCTCATAGCTCTGGACTTGCCGACCATGGGCCATTTTGGTCTTTCGCTGACTTTTCCGGGCTAGTCGAGGGAGAGCCTTTTCCATTAGTTCTAGGTGGCACTTGGCTTTGTCCTTAGTCGTTGCCCTTGTACGTTGTTGACTCATCGTCGTTTCATCGTTGAGGCCTGGCAAGGCTACACAGGCTAGGTTGTTGGTCCTTAGTTGGAATGGAGACAGGCCTGTAGATTCGTGAGGCATTCCTCGATGGATAGCCAAAATATTCCACGATGTCAGGTCAAGGCCTCATATCCCTGACCGTGATATTCCGCTGGAGGGCCGTCTTAATCACTCGTTTTGCGTTTTCTACCAATGCATTTGATTGTGACATGTGGGGAGCAGTGTTCCGAATGGAGACGCCATGTACGACCAAGCTTCTCAAAACCTCCCCTCGGAATTCTGCTCCGTTGTTTGTCAGGATTTCCTCGGTGTCCTGATGCATCCCGAGGAAACAGTTGACATACCGCACAATTTCCATCGTTTGTCTCGTTCTATATGGGTAGGCCTCGATCCATTCGGAAAAGTGATCTACGAATTGTAGTAGAACCGAATATTCGCAGCTATTAGTACCAGGGGGGGCCACGATGTCTGTAGTGTCCATGCTGACCGTTTGGAATGGCCGTTCGACTATTGTTGGTGTTATCAACCTAGGCGATTGAACCGGCGCCTTCTCGGATACGTAGACAGGATCATTTTTTACGATGAATTTAACGTTGTCCCTAATATTGGACCAATACCATTCATTTTTGTTGATGGCCGACTTCGTAATCCTGACAGCGAAATGCGTGGCGGTCTCTTCATGGGCCGACCTTACCCAATCATATCTCATGAACGGGTGAGGTACAAACATCAAAATCCCACTCTCATCCGTCTTTTTCTTTTCTAAACGTCCTTCGTTGCATCTGTAATCCCGAGCCCTTTCGTTGGCTTGTCTCCGATCCTCCGTAGAGAATTCTTGAAGAGAGTTTCCAACTACGGCGACTATCAGAACGACATTTGTTCACACCTCCGCTCGTCTAAACAGTCGCATCTTCTCCATTCCTTCCGATGTAGCTTAGAGGAATCGAACTTTCGTCGGGATTTTATTGATACGGCACAAGGGGTAGAGCCATGGCTTCTGCGGGTTCCTATACTGGATACAGGAACCATGGGCCCTCGTTATTACCTTCTCCGTCTGCCGCCATGAGGCCACTTGCCACTTCTTGGTTCCTCTGGGGAGGATTTTCGTACGTCTGTCCCTTGGCCAGCTCTGACTCTTTGCACGTAGTA